TATTCATCTATATCCTAAAATATTGCTGCAGTTTCTCTTTTATTCTATCTCTAGTATACTCACCATTGAGTATAACCTTCTAGCACAGGCTTATCTAAATATACTCACCTCTATCCTCAAGTTTTTAACACGATGATCTCTAAATCTAAATTAAAAATACTTCCATCCACAAAGTATGCCTGTCAGAATTCTGGCCCCCCCCTTTTTTTTTTCCATGTTTAACAAGTTCTACTTTCTTTCTTCAATTTTCTGATTATTTCATGTTGGGCATAATTCCTCTATATTATACTCTCTACCTCTTAATTAACAAATAAAACAATGCTCTGTATTAAGTTACCCAGTCACATGATCAGTCTCCAACATGCTTTGAGTTCCAGGAAGACAGATTTAGATGGATTTTACAGATCTTGGTCCCCTCCCCACTTATCTAGCCAATGTCTGACACATAGATGCTGCAGAATACTACTTACTTAATTAAATTAGGGAAGACCAGGTGAAAATGATGTTTTAATTAATGAAGTAGGAAAGCCTAATTAGTTTTTTTGGGATGACTGTACTCCAGGAGATCAAAAGAATTGTTTTTAATTAAGGACACAGCTAGAGGTATCTCTAGGAAACAGGGAAGGCCCAGGCAGTAAAAGACCATTGACAGCTATGAAGGGAGTGAGGGCCTGAAATAGAAGAAAAGATTTTCAACTATGGACAAAATAATTACCTGACGCTCTTTTGCCTAGCAATAATCCTTAAGCCTTGCTATCAACATTACAAAATGTGTTGTTGAAAAAGCATTCCTGGGCAGAGAAAATAAAACCTTAAATGATATAAATTATTTGTGAATTGCTAAAGAATAAACAGTAAGACTCAGAAGAAATTGGCATGTATATGCCATCCTTTTTTAAGTAAAGGAATTGTTGCTCTTATGGAAATTACAAAAATACATTTAACCCAAAAGTTTCAACTCTGTTTATAATCAATCAGCAGTCAATTGAGACTCCCATTTAACTATCGGACTTATTCAAGATACATAAAGTAGCCAAGTTGGCTGTTCCCAGAATCTAGATTTTGCTCTTATAGAGAATATGGCCACAGTCTGAACTTTGGATATAAATTTTTAAACCAGAAAAATATGTATATTGAAAAACTATAAAAAGATGAAGAAAGGACAAATACCCTACTACATTTAGATCCATAGTTACTTTAATTATTAGGTCTCCATTAATTTTTTATTCCCTTCTGCTTACTCTGTATATATCCAATTACTATCTTAATTTCTCCTCATGTAATAGTGAAATTTCTTGTTTATTTTGTTTTTTTGTTTGTTGTTTTTACTGTTCAGCTTTATCCTTTTTCTCATCTCTTTTTTTTTTCTGTGTCCTTTGTGATTTGGAGTGTTTTAGTATTTTTTGTAGTTTTTATTTTTTAAGTCATTGATACTGGATCTCACTTCCTTTATTTGTAAAAATGAGATGAGACTCAATAATTTTCACAACTTTTCAATATTTGGAACTCTCTGACTCAAGATTTTATAGTCATGAGATGAGATTTTTGAAACTTTTAAAAAAGTTATTAAAAGAGAGAGATAAGAAGTTTTTCTTTTTTTTTCAGAGTGACTTCTATAAATGCATGGCAAAAATGTGAATTTGAAAGTTTACAATGTTTCAATATGTATTTTAATGTGATGGCAGGAGTTGTGCTGGAATTGACCAACAACTTTAAGGATAGAAGGGGCTGTAACACAGTGTGCCTGAAAAGAAACTTCACTTTCCCCAGTCCTGGGATGGTACAGAGTTGGTAGTTCCTCTGGCTCAAAGATGGAACAGAGGAAGCAGGAGCTGTAAGCTCCCAGCATGCTGCAGGCAATGTGATGGCCCACCCATAGAGAGATTGCTGGAATGGACCAGTGGCAGTGTCAAGGAGATAGGGTGGCATCCCTCTTCGAGAGTGTCTTTCAGTGAAGATTGGAGTAAAGCTGAGCATTCCTCTGAATAATCCAGGTAAAACAGGAGACAGAGAGGAATAGGGAGAAAGAAAGAAAGACAGAAAGGAGGGAACAAAGAAGGAACATAATGCAAAGAAGGAAGCATGGAGAAAAGAAAAAACGAAGAGAAAGAAAAAAGGAAGAAAAAAGAAAAAAAACAAACAGAAAATAAACATGAGATCTTTGAAAGTTTTAATCTACTTTAGCAATTAAAGACTATGGAAAATCCTATAATAAAAAGATTGATTTTTTAGTCTTAATTGGGTAACTAATTTAAACACAAAACCCATTTTTTCATGGAAAATCTATTCATTAATAGAATACCTTTTGGGGAATGGTGTTGTAGACAAGTAGCAAGCAGCTATAGTAGAAAAAATGTAAAAACATTTTGAGAATATTTAGAGTTATAGTGATTCTTAGGAATACTTTTTGGGTTATTTCGATTCTATGATTAGAACAAATTTATAGCCAAATATTCACATTTGAGAAAACTTGTGCATTACACCCACTCTTGCTCTATTTGTATAGTCTCATCTCTATTCTTTACCTATAGGTAAACCTCATTGTGTCATTTTTAAATAATAAATTATGTACATGTTCGCTTACTGAGCACAGATGTGTATTTTCCAATAATTAAAATAATTTTAAGGAAAAAAAACTTTAGTAAAAATTAAAGCCAACCTTGTGTTTGGCAAGGGCAGGTGTTCTGTGAGGATTAAATAATTTGCTTCTTCTAGGTATTTAACATAATCTATATGTGTGTATTAGGCAACAGACATATTTACCCAAGCAAACTTTAAGTCCTCCCAGTAAAGTTGTTTGCTTGATTGCCCTGGTGTCCTATCCTCTGGTGGGATTTTCACCAGGACATGAAGTTTGTTAGTCTGAGAATTCACCCAGACCATGTGGAACAAAGTATACATCCTTTTTTTTTACTTTTTCTGCATATATGAAATTTGTTGTTCATACTTAGTATCTTATAGAGTTTCTTCAACTTGTGAAGATTAATGAGATTATAGCAACTGCTTATTATATCTTGCATTTTCCATAGGTTTTTTTAACTCCCTTTTATCAAGGCCTCTCAACTGTGCTAAATTCTAATACTGTGAAAAATATTTTATATGAAAAATAGAAATAAGAAGATAGACTATGATTGGTTTATAAATTGCTAACAGGAAGGATTGTATGGGAGGCAAGGGGACCAACTCTTAAATATAACAGGGCTTGTTAATAACATAATACTCTTAGCCAATATTCCACAGATATAGCAACAAGAACTCAACTTGGACTTGGACTTTCAAATGTCTGACTTTGACCATAATGATAGGCAAGTAGTATGTAAAGAAAAATTATTCTACAAATTATAAAATTTACTATTTACAGAGCTTGAAGCTTACTTAAACAAATTACTTACAAAGTAATGAAGAGAGCATCATCCCAGTTTTAAAGAAATGCAGTTTTATTTTGTTTTTCTGTATATATTGAACCCATTATTAGGAACTTAATTCAATTTATTACATATTTCTTCACCTACTATATTCTTGATGAGTAAGGAATCCAAGACAATGTGAAGAGAAACAGTTGCATGTGAAATCATACCTCCAGTCCATATGGTTGCACACTTTAACTATTAAATTAAGCTTTTAATCACTCACCCATCTCTACTTTGACTCTCAAATAGTTTTTAGTTTATGATAAACAAGGCTCTTTATGTGTACCCAGGAATCATTTGCTTGCTTACCATCAAAAAGAGTAAGGACAAGTCTTACCTAAAGGAGAGTTGTACAAACTGAGACTGGAGAAAAACTGAGAAATACTGGGGTGGCAGGGGAGAGTCCAATGAAAGGGCCAAGTATTTAGTTTGCTTCTAGAGTAGGCCTATAGTTGAGCCAGCAGAACTTTCTTATGGTCCTACAAGGGACTAAAGCTTCTACTACATTCAAAACTACCTATGGGCATCCCTTAAACACAATGTACACTTTGTCACCAGTGTATATGCTCTCTCTTTCACCATACCTTGCCTTGAATTTCCTTCTCTTCTCTTCTCTGCTCGACAAATCTGCCCATTGGGAGCTTTGACCCATTGAGAAGCATTCTTAGACCATTCTATCTGAAAGAGAAAACTCCCTCTGAATTTATATAATGCTTAGTTGCCAGTCCCAATGAGAAAGGTAGTGTGAAAAGAAAAAAAAAAAAGGAAACAAAATCCCGATCAGAGTCAAACATTTCATCATTTACTAGATATGTAATCTTGAATAAATTTACTGACCTCTTATAGCTTCTTCTATCTTCATCCTTAAAATTGAGTAAGGTCTATGCTACATCTCGAACATGCTGCCAGGATAAAATAATGTCGTGTTTGCAAAATGTGTTGTATATGACAATTGATTGTACTTAAGTAAGAAATTTGCTTTATTTCCACCAAATTCAGTTATGATGATTTACATTCTGGTAATCCCAATATGATTTCATATATGTTTTTTCTTATTGCCCCAGCCCAGTTAAAAGTATATATTTGTTTTCTCCAGATGATGAAAGAAGTTAAGTCTTTAGTATATAAAATATTAAAATATACCCAAGTATAAAAAATGAAAAAAAGGCATGAAATAACCAGAAAATAACTGCTAAATCAAGAAATAACCACCATTAACATTTTTCTATTGTATGCCATAAACATTACAATTCTTATACATGTAAGTATATATGTGTATCTTTGTACACAGCTGGTTCACTTATCAATATATCCTGTAAATATTTTCCAGTCTTATTTTTGCTTCCTCAAATGCAACCATAGTATTTTGATTTGCCATGTCTGGCTAAGTACATAGCATTACACTTTGGGAAATAAATTTTCAATAAATGGGCTTTATTATGAGAGCGACTTAAAGCATTTTATGATTATTTAAATATAAAATTATTTAAAACAGAATTTCTGACTTTAGAGACAACTCTGTTCTTATCGATGAACCAAAGACGTTATAAGTAACACTGACTTTTCCTTTTCCTTTTCCTTTTCATTTAGTTTGTTGCCCAGCCCAATTGTCAACAACTGCTTGCATCTCGCTGGTACGATGAGTTCCCAGGCTGGAGGAGAAGACACTGGGCAGTGAAGATGGTGACATGTTTCATAATTGGACTTCTTTTTCCTGTCTTCTCTATGTGCTACCTTATAGCTCCTAAAAGCCCACTTGGACTGTTCATCAGAAAGCCATTTATCAAGTTCATCTGCCATACAGCATCCTATTTGACTTTTTTGTTCCTGCTGTTGCTTGCCTCTCAGCACATCGACAGGTCAGACTTGAACAGGCAAGGTCCACCACCAACCATCGTCGAGTGGATGATATTACCATGGGTCCTGGGTAAATGTGTTACTATAGAAAATATAAAAACGTGATACTACCATGGAATTTTGTTGCTCAGGAAAGAATATTCGTTAAAGCTTAGGACATAGTAATATTTAAAACAAGTTCTGACTATTGTATTCCAAGACCTAATGCCCAAAACTAAATAATTATTTTATAGCTGTGGTGGACCTGCTCTTACATTCAGCTTGTAAAATGTAACCTTAGGTTTTAGAATATCAGATTTTAATGATTTCATATCCCATGAATGATTTTCTCATTTTGTTTGTATGTTTGTCTTTTAAAGCCTTTTCATATGTGTCATTGGCCATATGTAAATAATCATTTTAATTTTCTTGATACACCTTTTAAAAGATAAGTACAAATTACTCAGCAAAATTAGTGATTCTGGACATAACGTAACTGTAAACGATCTTTAAAATCAATTCATTTAAGTTTATCTTTGAAACTTTATATCATTAAAATAATAAGAAATTCAATAATAGGACATCCACCAATCTCTTTCAGTTCTTTTCATAGAAATAAAAATGTTTTGGATCTGCAGGAAATCTTGATAAGATAGAAAACCTTAAAGTATTGGTAAAAATCCAGTTTTCTTTTCCTATTGTTATTATAGCCACAGATAAAATTTACATTTTAATTATTCTTTCCTCTATCCTACTGCTGTTTGCTGAGAAATAACATTTTCTCAATTTAGCTCCTTATTTTAAACCTCTCTGTTATCATACCCATCTCATCATTTAGTAATTAGAAAATATATGATTCACAATCTCAGAAGATCAGTTTAAGTTAACTGTCAAAACCGCTGCAGAGATTGTAAAGGAGGAAAATGTAGGGGAAAAAGAGACAGTGTCTGAATCTGAGATAGATACACTTTTCAACTTTAAAAGTTATAAATACTTTAAGCACTGACCATAAGAAAAGTTCATGGGACCAAGTTTTACATATCTTACTGGATAAAAAGAAATCATTTTCTTACTGAACTTTAAAATAGAGTACATTCTCATTAATCTGAAGTACATAAAGTGTAACCACAGATTCTTCCTGTTTAAAGAATAAAATAATTATGGAATTTTAGTTGATATTCAATATAAAATTACCCTGTTTGAGTTTAAATTCAATATCTCACATTGGGAATATGTCCTGTATGGAGTTTTCTTCATAGAAATTTCTTGGGAGCAATTCTTAAAGAAGTGCTAGGAAATATAATGTCCCATTATATATAACATATCGAATGTCTAGAAATCCTGATATCTCAAATGAATTACAGAATATTTCATTTTGAAAAATGCTATAGATACACTGCAGCATAAGCACATGTAGTATTTCTAGTCTTTCATTTATTCAATCAATTAAAATACGTAGAATATTTTCTATGTAGTAAGCATAGTACAGGGCAATAGTGATAAGTAAGTGAGAGAGACAGAGAGAGAGAGAGAGAGACAGAGAGAGAGAGAGAGAGAGAGAGAGAGAGAGAAGTCCCTTGCCCTTATAAAGATTAAATTTTACTGGAGGAAATGAATAATAAACAATGAGATATGTTATATAATGTCAGAAATTAGTAAATAATATTAAAAAATAGAACTCCAAACTTTTTAAAAACTTATACAAGTAAAACAGTCATATGTGCAAAAGTTGTAACAGAATTTTCCATGAAAGCTGGCTAGAAGAAATTATATCCAAACCACAGCTAAATGGTTAAATATGGTATAAATTTAATTGTGAGAATTATAATTCTAGCCAAAAGAAATATCTACTAAAAGCAACATTTTCTCTAGATATCCTGACATCAGAGAGTTAATTTATTGGGAGATTTTTAGGGTAAAAACAGATTTTCTAGAATCCAAAAAAAAAAAAAAAAAGAATGATTATCTGGCTTAAATAACAGGGAATGAAAAAGAATGTTTAAATATCAAATAGATCTGTCAAAACACTTCATTATTCATCACACTTGGTAAATTCTGAGTGTCTCATATCTAAATGCTTTGCTAGACCCATGATTATAAAGAGTATACTCTATGTTACTGGGGTCTGTGAAAAAGTACTGGATTTGAGTACATGTTAAGGTTCTACCACTAAGAGACTTTCCAACAATGGGTGTTCACATCCTCTCAGGATTTTCAATGTCTTCATTAATAAAATGAATTATTTAGAGTGATGACTTCTTAAGTCCCACTGAGTCCTATTACTGATGGGAGCTATCATTATTAGACCACAGAAACTGGTCTTTTTTTGGGGGGGGGCATTAAGGAGAAGAGCTTAAGATAACAGAGTAGGAATGCTTTAACTCTTTACTAAAAGTGTGATATAAACAAAAAAGGTATGGTTTGTTTGTTTGTTTTCTGTTTTGAATATTTTACTCAAAATAATATATTTATTATATTTATATATAATTTGACTTAAGAAAGAAAGCTTCAATTACTCAAACTAAAGGGCTGTTGTTTATCTTTTTTATAATAATATTTTTATTTCTTAATTACAGTTGGCTTACAATATTATATTAGTTCTAGGTATACAACATAGTGATCAAACATTTATATAACTTATAAAGTGATCATCACAGTAAATCTAGTACCCATTTGATACCATATATTATGATTATAATATTATTGACCATATTCTTTATGCTATACTTTATATCATTACTATTTTCCAATTACACATTAGTACTTTTTCATCTCTACCCCCTTTTCACCCGCTCCCCAACCTCTCTACCATCTTTGTAAACAACAAAATGTTCTCTGTATCTAAGAATGTTTCTGTTTTGATTGTTTATTTTGTTCTATAGATTTCACATATAAATGAAATCACATGGTATTTGTCTTTGTCTGTCTGACTTAGTCTACTTAATTCAGTACCCTCTGGGTCCATCCATGTTGTTGCACGTGGCAAGATTTCATTCTTTTTTATGGCTGAGTAATATTCCATTGTATATGTGTATGATCTCTTTATTCATTCATCCATTGATCCACACCCAGGCCACCTCCATATCTTGAATATTGTAAATAATGCTGCAATGAACATATGAATCCACATGTCCTTTAAAATGCTATTTTGGATTTCTTTGGATAAATACCCAGAAGTGGGATTACTTGGTCCTTCTTTGTCTTTTGTTATAGGCTTTGTTTTAAAGTCTGTTTTGTCTGGTATACGTATTGCTACACCAGCTTTGTTTGTTTGTTTGCTTGCTTGTTTTTATTTTCATGAAATATCTTGTTCCATTTCTCTTCTTTCAGTCTGTGTGTCTTTTGATCTGAAGTGAGTCTCTTATAGGCATTATGTGTAAGGGTCTTGTTCCCTTATCCATTCAGCCACCCTATCTTTTGATTGGAGCATTTATTTACATCTAAAGCAAGTTCGATGTAGTTGTTACCATTTAATATTCATATTTTTAATCTTTTTCTTTTTTTCTTCTTAAAGAAGTCTAACTTTTTTTATAATATTAGTTTGATTTGATTAACTCCTTTAGCTTTTTTTTTTTTTTCCCTGGGAAGCTCTTTATCTCTTCTTCGATTCTAAATGATAGCTTAGCTGGGTAGAGTAATCTGTAGGTTCTTACTTTTCATCACTTTAAATATTTCCTGCCAATCCCTTCTGGACTGTGAAGTTTTTCTTGAGAAATCAGCTGACTATCTTATGGGAGCTACCTTGTAGTAACTGTTTATCTCTTACTGCTTTTAAAATCTGTCTTTATCTTTAACCTTTGGCATTTTAATATGATATGTCTAGATTTGGGACTCTTTGAGTTCATCTTGATTGGGACTCTCTGTGCTTCTTGGGCTTGTATGTCTATTTCCTTCACCGGGTTAGGGTAGTTTTCAGTCATTATCTCTTGAATAGGTTTTCAGTACCTTACTCTCTCTTTTCTCCTTCTGGTATCCCTATGATGGGAATATTAGTATTCGTCACATTGCCCCAGAGACCTCTTAAACTCTCCTAATTTTTTTATTCTTTTTTTCTTATTGCTGTTCTGATTGGGTGTTTTCTGCTACCATATCTTCTAAATCACTGATTCAATCCTCTGCTTCATCTAATCTATTCATTTCTCCTGTTAATCTTTATTTCAGCTATTGCATTTTTCATTTCTAATTGGTTCTTTTCTATGTTCTCTATCTCTATTTTTATGTTTTCCATCTCTTTGTTAAAATTCTCTCTGAGTTCATCTACTCTTCCCCTAAGTTCATTGAGCATCCTTATAATCAGTGTTTTGCACTCTGCATCTAGTAGAATGCTTGTCTCCATTTTGTTTATTTTATTTTTTCCTGTAGATTTGTTTCGTCCTTTCACTTGGGACACTTTTCTTTGTCTCCCTATTTAGATTGCCTCCCTGTGTTTGTTCCTATGTATTAAATAGAGCTGCTATGTTTCTTGGTCTTAGTAGAGTAGCCTCATGTAGTAGGTGTTCTGTTGGGCCCGGCGATGCAGTCTCGCTGGTCACCTGCACTTGGTGCTCCAGGTATGTTTTTTGTATGGATTGTGTGTGCCCTCCTGTTATAGTTGAGCGTTGGTTGCTATTTATATGTCAATGGGAGGGATTGACCCTCAGGCTAATTGGTTGTGAAGAATGGCTGGTGAATATGGTGGGAAAGCTGAAATGCAGGGACTGACCCTACAGAGTAGAATTTATTTTAACAGGACTCTGGTGCCTTCCAAGTTTGCCTTTGGGGTATGTTGTCCTCACATGTGGCCCTGGGACATGCTCTGACTCAGTCTGAAGCCAGCCACAGGGATCTCCTGGGAGACACCCTGCTGCAGGCCAAGTTCAGCTGTAGCCTGTGCCCTGCCTGGGCCCACCAGGCAGGAGCCATCAAGCAATTTATAGATGGCTGCCACCCACACAGGGCTTGGAGGTGCCTCTACAGACTAAGCTAAGAATCGAGGCCAGCTGTTACTAATACTAGGCTTGGGGTTGCTCAGTAAACTGTATGGGGTTTACCATGGCTAGATGCTGTTTGTTTTGGTTTTTTGAAGCTTTGAGAGGTTTTTAGGAAAGTCCA